TGGAAAAAAAAAAAAAAAAAAAAAAAAAAAAGTTATTGCAGAGACTTACCTGGTGGTCCAGTGGTTAAGAATCCACCTGCCAATGCAGAGGACGTGAGTTCGCCCCCTGGTCAGGGAACTAAGATCCCACATGCCGCGGGGCAACTAAGCCCACGCTCCGCAACTGCTGAGCCTGTGTGCCACAACTAGAGAAGCCTGCGCACCACAACGAAAAAGATCCCGCATGCCACAACGAAGATCCCGCGTGCCATAACTAAGACCCGGTGCAGCCTAATTAATTAATTAAAAGTACAGAATAAATAAGGGCTATAATTCACTTGGGAATTATATTATATATATATATATATATATATATATATAAAAAATATATCCTTGTTGTGTGTCTATTTTATTTTTTAATTTTTTGGCCATGCTGCACAGCATGTAGCATCTTAGTTCCCTGACCAGGGATCAAGCCCATGCCCCCTGCAGTGGAAGCACAGAGTCTTAACCACTGGGCCACCAGGGAAGTCCCAGTTTTATACATAGTACTTCGTATATGATGCATGTTAAAGTTTGAGGACCATGGTGTTAGAGCAGCCACATAGAGCATCAGGGGCTTAGGCAGGCAGCAGCTGCAACTGTCACAGTCCCTCTTGGGCTGGCAGTTCACAAGACCAGTTCCTGGAGATCTGCTCACGGGTGCCGTGGAAAGAGCACATGCCAGAGGGACCTGGGTTCAAATCTTGCCTGCCTTGTGGGCAAGCTGATAATGTCTTTAGGCCTCAGTTTCCTCATCTGCAATAGTGTTAACACCAGTGCCTCAGGATCATTGTGAAGAGGAAATAGAAGTGTGTGTGTGTGTGTGTGTGTGCGTGTGTGCGTGGTGTGTGTGCACATGTAGTAATAATGGCTGTTATTACTTAGAGCAGTAATGATGGGCCTGTTTTAAAACATGCCCTGTCCCTGGTGGGTCTGCGTCCCGCTTTGATACATAGAAGCAGAGAGAGAGTATCAGTTGTTCTGAGTGGCAGGAAAACACCTATTATGTGGAAACAAGCTATTCCTGGCCTGTCCTTAATCCCAGGGGACCCCTGCCAGGTGTCCTTTGGGGCTTGCTGCCTATGTTCCTTGGTGCTGTAATAGTGCCATGGAGGACATGGAGGTTCACATGGGTTCACTAACTCACCTGGGACTACACAGCTAACAGGAGCAGTGCCAGGGTTTCAAACCTAGGGCTCTCTGACTCTAGAGCGTGCTGGGAGATGCAGTGTGTGTGGGCCCTGAGTGTCCCTGCACATTCGTGCTGAGTATTCCAGGAATGCAAGGCTCTGGCAGGGCTTTACCCAGGCGTTGGCTGAGTTTGCAGTGAGCAGCCTCAAGGGATGAGGTGACATCCTCCTTCACACAAAGAGCAGGCTTGCTTCTGCCACTGTAGAAACAGTGAATGCTCCAAGCTCAGTGTTCCTCTTTGGTACTGTAACTCACTGCATGGACAAGCATCTGTCGTGGCCCTTCCTAGGGAACTGGCTTCAAACACCATGAAGCTCTGCTACTGCTTTTGCTGTGAGTAATGAAATCCTTTGTCTCCTACCTAGGAGTCTTGTGTCTTCTGCCAGCATCCATGAAACAGGCTAGTGTGTTAGCTTATGAGTAGGGTAAGACCTCAGACCTCTTGGTTAAGGTTAAGAGCCTTCACCACTTCCTACTTGCCTGGTGGACGCTTTACGTCGTACTAAGTTCCCCATCCCTGTATTGGCTCTATCAGAGGCCACCAGGCTTGGTGCACCAGGCTGAGAATGCTGGAAGCAGGATTTCCCTTCGAACTCTGAGATTGCACAGTTTCCAGAAGCCTGAAAATATGACATGAATGCCTCTGAATCCCCCAGCCCCTCCCCACAATGATACAATGAGCTTGGCTCGGCCTTGTTTTGAAAGCTGCACCCTCCAATCAGACCTGGGCTTGAGCAAATGTCTTTCCTCTGCTGCATGTGAATCCAGTGAGCCTTACCTTGACGCACTTTGGCGATCAGTCCCCAAGGGGACCATGTAACCTCCTCCCCGGTACACAGCGAGTTAGCCCCGGATGGGATACCCTCGGCGCTGGCTCTGGCTCTGGCTCTGGCTCTGGTACTGCCAAGCCTGGGAAAAGTCATTGCTGTTATTGAGGACAGAGGCATTCCAGCCTTCCCCATAGTGTGACAGGTCTTCAACGTCCAGGGAATATGGCACATGGCATCCATCAAGAGAAGCCTGCAGGGCTTCCCTGGTGGCGCAGTGGTTGAGAGTCCGCCTGCCGATGCAGGGGACACGGGTTCGTGCCCCGGTCCGGGAAGATCCCACATGCCGTGGAACGCCTGGGCCCGTGAGCCATGGCCGCTGAGCCTGTGCGTCCGGAGCCTGTGCTCTGCAACGGGAGAGGCCACAACAGTGAGAGGCC